CAAGTTGAAAAATATGATCTTTGGAGGAGTATGAAAAAATCAGGAGGAGACACCAAAGATTTAATATGGTTACACAACACATAATTAAACTTCAATATTTGCTACCCTGAGGTCTGGAGCTGGGAACCAACCTGGCTGGCTTCCAAAAGGGTTAGATCAATTCATAGAAGCCATGGGCACCAACGGCTATTAGCCTTGCCTCTGAAGGCCATCTGCTGGGAGAGAGGTGGACTTCCTTGTGCAGTTAGCCTGCTTCTGCGAGAACAAACTGCTGGAAAAAATGGCACAGCTAGGCACTGCTAATGCTCTTACGAGATGGCCTTGTAGAAGGAATTTTTCAGGTAAACACCAGCTTAGCCCTGAAACGAAGGACGGATTGAGAAAGAAGCTCAAGATTGCTCTGCCTTGATTCTCTTTGGTATACTAGGGGGAAGGCAGCATTTTTGACAGGCTTTCAAATTTCTATTATTATACTCTTAATAGGAAAGGAGAACTCCAGAGATTCATATGGTGTTTGTTTCCTAACCTGGCTTACCTTGAAGAGCTGATACTAACTCATATTATTCAGGTACCACACAGTTAATCTTAAATACCATATTTTAAAAACAAGGTGGCCTGATTTTATTTTCTATATAAATCAAGGCAGTTGCAACAAGTTCCTTGTGATACTGATTTTCAGTATAAGATGGGTTTGTATACAATGTATACAAACATTGTAAATAAGCATTTACACACTTTGTAAAAAGATGAAGGAAATCTTTGAGGGATATTATAGATTATTTCTTTCTTACTGTTTAACAGCAAAGTTAAAGACCTACATAGGGATACTATTTAATGGTTTCTTTACACTCTTGGTGACATTTGTATCTGAATTTAATAGTATAGTTGGTATGTAAAGTGTTTAAAACTTAATTCAAAGGGTTTCTGCTGTCTCTTTAGTGAAAGAAACAGACTTACTTTTGGTAAAAGTAAGTGGTGTCATGTGTGATCATATACAGGCAGTCCTTGACTTATAATCAGACTGGAGCCTGCCCATTACAGTACAGGAAGTCCTCAATTTACAACAGCTCACTTAGTGACCATTCAAAGTTACAGAGGCACTGAAAAAGTGAGTTATGACCATTTTCACACTTATGACCATCGCAGCATCCCCATGGTCATGTGATTTACATTAGGATGCTTGGCAACTGACTCACATTTATGACAGTTGCAGTGTCCTGGGGTCATGTGATCCCCTTCAGGCAAGCAAAGTCAATGAGGAAAACCAGGTTTACTTAGCCACCGTGTTAACAACTGCAGTGATTCAAATGAGGCAAGAAAAGTCGTAAAATGGGGCAAAACTCACTTAACAAATTTCCACTTAGCAACATAAATTTGGGGCTCAGTTATGGTCGGAAGTTGAGAACTACCTTTAGCAAGGCTTGAGAATTGTAAAGCAGGTCACCTATGTGGCTGATCTGATTTTATGACTTTTCCTTGAAGCAAGTGCTAAGTGAATGCCATAGTCATGAAACAAATCCATTGTTTGCTATGGAACATTTTTGCCAAAACCAGAAGTAAATGCCGAGTTTTGGCAAAAATGGCATAAATCAGTCATTGTAGGGACTGTAGGGTGTAACAAATGGCCATAAATGTGTATTGTTGCCATGCAGAAAAATGTGGTTATGTGACCATGGGAAGAGGTGGCTGGCAGAACTTTGAAAATGGTTGTGAACCTTTTGAAGGTTCTGTCCTGGTTTCAAATGGCCACCAACTGACCAGTCGTAAGTCAAGGACTACCTGTGATATGCACGTAACCTCATTTGTGTCAACCTGAGATAGATCAGACTCAATCACCAAAGCCATGGATGTTTTTCACAGGGTTTCAGTAACAGAATCTTGCAATGTGCCTCAATCTTCCCTGCCTCTATCCTAAAGATACTTTTGAGAGGCTCAACTCTGAAATGCTTTCTCAAATTACATTTCTGCTTTGGGCTCGGATTTCTTTTATCTGACCATTGTCATGACCCTTCCTCAGAGCCCACTTTCTCCATCCACTCTCAACAGCCATGTCCTTATGTGCAGGTGAAACAGATGAGAAATGGGCAATGGCCATCAGAATGGTCCTCTTTGAGCGTCCAAGCCCTAAAAACAAGGAATTGATACTCCCTTTCCTCTTTAAGCAATTGCATCTTTCTTAATTCAGAGTTAGCGGAAATCTTATTTAATTGCATCGGATTCAGACAGTCTTGCTTCAAGCCCCTCAAATCCTGGAATACTGCTTTCACGTCATCCTTAGTTCTTCTTTTCTGGCCATACCCCAATTCCTACAACCGTTCTTCATATGTTTTTTGTCTCCAGGCCCTTAATCATCTTAGTTGTTCTTCTTTGCACTTTTTCCAAAGTCTCAACATTTTTCTGGTAATACGACCAAAACTGGATGCAATATTCCAGGTGTGGTCTTACTAAGAATTTATAAAGTGGTACTAATCTTCATGTAATTTTGACTCTATGCCTCGGTTTATACAACCAAGGATTACATTAGCTTTTCCGGCTGCCGTTGCACAATTTTCAAAACAGATAAATTATAAAATTACGCCCATGAAGGGGAGAACGTTGGGCTCTATAAAGTGGTATTTTAATCGTTCTTCGTGTTGTGTAATGTGATGGTGTAATTGTAAGAAGTAGTCCAACAGGATTTACAAATGACAAATGTAGGTTAATCTATAACTAGAGCAAGGTTATTCTTTGACCAGAAGAGGGAGACGTTGAGAAATACGGTTTTGAGGTATAAGAGCTGTAAGTGGCTAAAATAGGTCATCAGGCGTTTATGCAGCTTGTATTGCATGCCTCACAAACAAATCCTTTTGCTGACAATACAAAGTGTAAAAAAAACTACCTACTTATCCCCCCCTCTCAATTTCTCCTCTGTATTCCTCTACCTATATTGCACAGCAGCTTAATCTTCTGGGGTTGAAAACGTTACACCCTAGTTTGAAGGCATGCTGGATTGGGGTTAAAATTGGAATGAACCAATAAAATTCTAGAAAATGCATAGAGAAATCATAGTGAGCACTGAGTTCCAGGTTAATTTGGTAGTGTAGGAAGCCCTTCCACTCCCTCCTCCTGATTAAAATATTCTTTATTCTTAATATTAAAAAAGGCAGAAGAGAATATTTCCCCTAAAGGAGAAATGGAGAAAAATCTTAACAAAGGCGGAAAGGACCCCCAGTCTTCCTGACATAAGAAAACAGCCTCAAGCAGAAGCATGAAGAGGCCAGTCTTCAGGAAATTTTGTATCCATTCAGAAAGACTGGGCAGGGCCAATCTATTAAGCAAAGAAACTCCAAATTAGGAGTCAGCCAAAGGTGACAAGATTAGCTCAGACAAACACCTAGGATTTGCACTTCTTCTTTTGCCTGTAGAGCCAATCATGACCTTTACATGACCCCATAGGAATCTGGCAGCAGCCATTAAAATGTTAAAGATCACATTCTTAGAAAGGAACAGGCATCTCGAACACAAAACTCCAAGGGATGTATAAAAACCCACCTTCTCTCAACCCCATTTTGTCAGCCACCTCAGAAACATGCTGCTGTCACTAGTTCCTGGCTACCAAATAAACAGACTTCCTTTCTTGCAGCCTGCCTCCTTTTTATTTCCAGCATCTTTCTTCCAGCGTCTTGGAACTGGACCAGATTTTTCTTCCAACAGTAGGAATCTGAACTGAAAGCAGCATCCCTTTGGAAGAATTGCTGTCATAAGCCAGGGCAATGAATCTGCTCTCCCTCCAGCTATTTGTGGCCTTGACTTCTGTTATTTCTCACCATTAGCCATGCTATCCAAACAGAAAGGAAAAATGCTCCAACCACAGAGGGATGGTTTTGGAGAACACCCTTTAAAATATGTGAAAGCTTCCCACAGGGCATTCTTATAACTGCACTCAGCAACTATCAGTAAAGAATCAAGAATAAGGCTGATGACTAAATCGATTTAATACAGTTACCAAAGAAGCTCTAAAAACAATTAGTTATTGCAGAATCTAGGAATAAAGCCACATTTGGAACAGAGTTTAAATTATATTCCCTTTTTTCCTGCCCTTAGTTGGTTTCTCACCCCGGGTTATAAAAGGGATGTGTACCGTGTTTTAATAATGGTCCAATCTGGTCTTGGAGTCTTTGCTTTCAGCTGTGCTGGCTTTAGCCTGCTCCAGAGAAAGCCTGGGTAAAGTTAATCCGTAATTTTCTTCCTTTAGCACATTATTTTTAATTTCAGAAAATTACTTCATTTGTGTTTCTGAGCTGTATTAATAATCTCCTTACCCATCTCACAGCTGGGAAATGAAACTTAATAAATATGGAAATTGGTCTTCAAACTAATATTCTGGAGGAAAGGTAGTTAAATGCTAGATGGTGACTTACTTTCTCCCTAGGCTTAGAGGCAATAATTTCCTCTCAATCAGAATTATGGGCATATTGCAAAATAATATATTGCCAATGTGGTCTAGTGGTTAAGGTACTGTCTTAGGAATCAGGAGACCATGAATTCAAGTGCTGCCTTAGGCATGAAAGCCAGCTGGGTGATTTTGGGCCAATCACCAGGAGACCATGAGTCCTAGTTCTGCATTAAGCATGAAAGCTGGCTGAGTGACTTTAGGCCAATCATTCTTTCAAGTCACATCACAGGATTGTTGCTGTGGAGAAAATAGGAGGAAGAAGGAACATAAGGTATGTTTGCTGTCTTATTTATAAAAAATTATAAAAGTTGGATAAAGATCTAATAAATTAGAGGGGAAAAAATCAATGTACGGCTAGTGAAACAGTTTACAAATCCTGGTTTGCTGGTTTTCTGCTCAGAGAGCATATTGAATGTTTCAGAGTAACTGGACAGAAATAAAACATCCAAGCCTTAGCTTTAATTAGCTAAGCTGGGAGCAGCCCAAGGAACTTATATTGTCTCCCTTGCTTTAATCTACCAACTACTCTCCTGTAGAAGGAAGAAAAAAAAACCCCACACCTTCATCACTTCAATACTTTTATTTATATAATACATACACACACACACACAAGTACTGTACACGCCTAACATTTCCCTTCCCCCTCACAGTGTACATTTCCCCTCCGTATTTCTCTTAATACAGACTCTCTGGACAACAGAGCCAGCCGTAGTCCTGCTTGCACACAGTCCCTGACCTAAAGGTGTTCCGGAGCTTCCACCTTTTGCCACAGGAAGTTAACATGTCTGAGCTGTGCGTATGTGTCTCTGGCAGGAGCACCACCTCCTCCTTCACAACTCAGGTGCCCCTGGAGGTGCCTGGGATGGCAATCCAATGGTTGAGAAGGTAGAAGTAGGTTTGGTGGAAATTTGACATTTCTTAGGCTCCACCCCCTACATACAGTTGTCCAAAGATGCTGGTTGTCTTTCAATCCCAGCCATTGTCCTTAATCATGTGGTTCAATTCAATTATGAATTTGCCCTCCTTGTATTTCTGGCTAGTCTCAAAGGCCTGTTCCTGTAGAAGAAGAGGAGAAAGGAATGATATGGGTGGAAGCCAACTATTAAGTGGTGCAATTATTTTTACGGAGGGAGGGAGGGGGGGGAGGAGGGCACAAAGCAGGAGACTCACATATTTCCATCCAAGGGTGGTCTTGCAGTTTTCACAGTATATATCAGCTACAGCATGCAGGCCCGTCAGCAAAACACGTTCCTCTGCTGGGCCACATCCAACATTCACTCTGTACGGAGCCAAAACAAAACACAAGTTTTGTTAGCTTTAACAGGGCCCATCTGTCCTAATCGTTTTCCCAGTATGAGTTCTACTTTGCCTTGAAATCGCTAGCCATGGAAATCAATCAAGGGATGAAATGAAATCAATGGGATTGTTCTTAAGAGCTTGACCTACTGCTGCCAGAACAATGGTTCTATCCCCCTTTGTGGGTGCTTGACAAAGCCCAGGGTTTGGTCTTCAGGTGGGGGTGGGGGGGAAGTGGGATTTGATTTCCCCAGTTCTGTTAGTTTGGTTTGGAAGCACACCAGGATAAGAACAAGCCCAAAACTTTTCCCCAAAAAACTGGATATGAAGATAGATTTGGATTGTGTCCAGCTTCAGAGTCACTCGGTGGCTTCAGAAGCACAACTCACAAGGAGGGAGGTCAGCCCACAACCCCCATGTGGAAAGGAGGGCCAGGGTTTCGGTTTTGGGGTCTGCTAATGTCTTTTGAAATACAGTACCACAGAGACATGCTGGAGCTGGGGAAGAAAGGAAACCAAAAATAGTTTCTAACCTTATGATGAAAGTACAATGCACAGACACAAACAAGAGCCTGTCTATTAGGACAGGGTCTGGTTAATCTCCAAGCTGTGGTTCTGCTATCAAAATAACAAAAGCTTATGAATACCTGGTTCCCGCAATTCACTTGCAGAATTCATTCATTCCTATGCGATCACTCGGAAATAATTTTAAACTTGGTGTGAGTTTCAGTTTGGAATGATGTGCCACAGTCCGGAAGTATTTTCAGTTTACTTTGAAGGCCTTTGAATGTCTTTGAATTTTATCTAAATTAACCCTCCGCACACCAACATTCCCGCTGGGTTGATTGTTTTGGGAGAAGGAGATTAGCCCTATTAGGTTATCTTTTACTGAAACCTACTCCCACCTTCTCTTATTCTGCTATCTTAATAGCTTAATTGCTTCTGTTTTCCTCTGTTTCGGCTAAGACCCATTAAAAAGGAGCGATTGTCTCTTCGGCTGGCCCTTCAAGGTATGGACGCCCCAATGGTGGAGGAAGGATTTTAGCGTGAGATCTTTTTCTTCAGGTGGCTAGATTTCTCTCAGTAGAGGATTATTTGGTTGAATGAAGTCCGCTCTGTTGTAGATACTAGTACTGATTAAATACTACCTCTATCAATCTTTATTACAGTCACGTAATAAAAACATTGAAACAATAGTAGCAAAAAAATAAAAAGACAGACAGAATAATACATTGCAATTGGTAGTGGATTAACAATGGGCACCCAAAGTTTGCCTAATTTTACATACAGCATAGCAGAATTTGGCTGTGTTCAGAAAACTACTTCATACCGTTCTGATAACAGTAGTTGCACATAAAAAAAGACTAGCATTTCTAAGATAGCAAAGGGGTTATGAACTGAGTCTGTGAATCCTTATAGAAGATGTAGTGTAGCAGGACAAGAGGTGTTACCAGCTCAGTAGGCATTCAGACATAGAATTAGGATATAGCAGGGACTTGCTGCTCTTTTGATGGTAAATTAAAACTCCCATCTCATCTGTCCTGGCTGCAGATGATGCCACTTAACACAGAGGTCCCCAACCCCTGGGCCACAGCCTACTACTGGGCCACCGCCTATTCAGAATTGGGCCGCGTGACTGGCTAGCCAGAGTGCGCATGCGCAGCTCAACTTTCGTAAGCGTTTGGCGAATAGGCACTCAAGTTTGTGCCTGCCGTCTGCCACTTGTGCAAAGGCTGAATGCATGCATGTGCCCAGCCTACCACTCATGTGTCCCCTCCAGATGGGCGGCCAAGGTTGGGGGCCACTGACTTAACACAGCTAAAGGTCCCATGACAGTGATGGCGAACCTTTTGGGCACCAAGTGGCCAAAGCGCACATGTGTGCGCGTACCCAAAATGCAAGGTGCACCCAGGTGCATTTGTGTGACCCATGCGCATGCCTCATGCACATGCACGCGCCTCACGCATGCGTAATGCGCATCAGAGACTCAAAGACCGGCTGGCTGGCAGGAGGTGCACACACATGCACAGTGGAGCTGAGCTGGGGTGACGGTGCGTGGGCCCACAGAGCGGGGTCTGCCTGCCACCTGTGGCACGCATGCCATAGGTTCTCCACCAGTGCCCTGAGAGGGAAAACCTGAGTGTAGCATATATATATATATATATATATTTTCCTTCCAAAATATGCTCCTCTCTTGGGATACTTACACAGAGTTGAAGAGGTAGGCCCGTCCTTGGCTTCCTTGAAAAGACTGTAACAAGAGGGAGAACAGGACATAGAGCAAAAACCGAAGGCTTTCCTACCCCTATTTAAACAAATGCCTCCACCTCACCCTGAACACTTCCCACGGTTATTTCTCCTGCTGGTCACTCTGTCTCCCTCCCAACCTTGGGAACCCAAATCTCAGGGGCAGCCTTCAGCCTGTCTCCGTTGCTTATCATCCTCTGTAGACTTTGGTTCTAGACCAGCTGCTTATCTTCCCCTCCCGCTTGGCTGATGGCAAGCGGCCAGAGACTCTCTTCCCCAGTTTCCTTGTTTATGCTCTCAAACCCATGAAATTGAATTTAATGATTAATCAGCTGCAGCTGAGACCTATTGCCCTTGTATTCTTGAGAACTAGGGTGCAGGTAGCGGACAAGCCGAGGCAGAAAGAGCTGATCGCCCTTTGTAAAGCCCACCACCGCCACCACGGGCCCCCTCCCCTGCCCTTCTCCTCACCCCTTTCCTTCTTCTAGTCCCAAATAATGCCCCGTCTTTTACTGCTCAGAAATTCTGTGGCATCAGTAAAAGTGGCTCTGGAAAGAGACGTGATGTTGCAATTGGCAGCAGCTGCTGCTGCTTGGAGTCCCTCTCCTCCTCCCACCTCCACATCTTTTCCTGTTTTTAACTGTATTATTCCCAGAGGAGACGCTTTCGGATTTAAACTGTGGTTTCCTTGGGAGGTGGTGATTTCTCCAATGAACCAAGCCAGCCAGAATTTGTCTTACTTATCTATATTAATTTATAATCCATACTCCCAAACCTCTGCATTTAACTTAGAACATTAATCGTGCTATAGGGTAAAAAAAAAAATATTTAAGACATTATTGACCCTGACCCTGAACTGACTTGCAGCTAGTCTTCGTCTTATGACCACAATTGGGACCAGTGAATCATGTGGCTGTTAAGCTAACCTGGCTTCCTCCAATGACTGCTTGTCAGAAGCCACCTGGGAAAGCTGCAAATGATGATCACCTGACCTGGGACGCGGCAGCCACCGTAAGTACATGCTACTGGTGGTTGTCGAGCATTTCAAGTCGTTTTTTGTGTTTTTTTCCAGTGCTGTTGTAACTTCAAATGCTCACTAAATGAATGATTGTAAGCTGTGGACTGCCTGTACTTGTGACAGATTGACAAATTTCAAAGGAACCCAGAAAATTTACAGTAGTAATCTTACAGTGGGATATAAGATAAGCTGCCCTTTCTTTGTTGCCTTTCTGTATTACATTCTCTTTTGGTAATAAACCGCTTTATACTTTCCTTTTCTTTTTAAAAAACCCCATGAGCTACCCAAGGCACGGCAACCCCTTTTCCTTGGATGTTTCTCTAGAGGAGTGTAGCAAGGGGTATCTCATTCCCTTTTTCGTACCTTGGAGATGAGGTCGTCGTGATTGGCCAGGTGGGCCCGGCAATGCACACAACTGTAGCGACGGTGACAGTTGTCCAGATAGGCCTGAAAAGTTTTGGGTTTGGACAATCTCACCATTGTGGTGGGAGTCACGCCTGGAGAAAAGCTACAGGAGAGTTGTGGAGAACCAAAGAGCTCCTTGAAGGAGATGCTGGGGGGGCAGATGAAAGCCCTAAAAAAAGAGGAAGAGGAGGATCACCAAACCTACAGAGAACCTGTCAAGAAGTGGTAGCTACAGCCCTGGAGTCAGAGTGTCAAGATTTTGTTTCTTAGCTCTGGGAACTGGCCAGGTTCTATGTAACCAGCCTCTAAACAAAAACAAATACCACGTGCTGTGCTCTCCCTCCCTCGGCAGCTTCTTGGAGACTCAGCCTGTAATTAAACCCAGGATGTAGGTCACAGCTGATCACCTGTGATGAAAGAAAACTGCCGTAGAATAACGCTCAAACACCTTAACTTTCCAAGCTGCCCTTCCAATTAATTTCTGGTTAGGTTTTCCTAGCACCACTCCAACCATGAACACCCCTTGCTATAAACTCTAGTCTTTTCTGGTAAAACCAGACATTCAGCTTTCTGTTTTTTTGTTTCCAGACTGTGGACATAAATGTCAAGTATTATAACCACCCACCTACCCCAAACCTATGACCGGTTTTCACTTTTGCAGCATGGGCCCTTGCTCAGAGATACATTTTTTAATCCCACCTTTATTATTTTTATAAATAGCTCAAGACCTCAAGGTATGTCTGGGCTCAGAACATTTTTATTTATTTGCATCCCACCTTTATTATTATTACAAATCACTCAAGGCAGCAAACATACTTTCCTCCTCCTATTCCCCACAACAACCACCCTGTGAGGTGAGTTGGGCTAAGAAACGGAGACTGGCCCAGAGTCCCCAGCTTGTTTTCATACCTAAGGTGGGACTAGAACTCACAGCCTGCTGGTTTCTAGCCTGGTTCCTTTACCACTAGAGCAAACTCACATCTGCTTGGTTGAGATGGAAGGGAAGATCAAGACAGAAAGCAGTGAAGTCTCGAAAGCATACTGGGTAGTGACAGACATCAACAGCTTGTCACAGATTAGCAGGCAGTATTTAGAGTTGTGAAATGACGAAGGGATCTTCACTAAGTCAGGAAGAGGATAGAAGGAATCCAGAAGAATTATGTTACATGATGCCCAGAGATGGGGGAGGAAGGAAGGGCTTTAGAGAAACACAACAAAGAGCTTTAAGAATTGTGTGGCACTAATAGTGACCACTTAAGTGCAGCCAAACCAGAGGCAATAGAGACATACCTGTAGATTAAGGCACAACTTGAGACAGGCAGCTGGCTGCAGAAGAATGGGGCAGACACAAAGCAGCCCTGGGGATGAGAGAAGAGGGAGGAGCAGAGCGAAGGGATTTTTAGAAAATACAGTGGGCTAAACCAATCAGCTGAGGAGAGGTATTTGAGGGGAGGCGGGCAAGAGGAGAATCTCTGCAAGGAAGGATGGAGGTTTGGTTTTCAAAGGGGAGGGTGGAATGGTTGCCTGGAACCTCATGGTGGAGGAGGAGAAAGGGAAGCAAACCAGCTTCCTTGAAAGGGAAGCAAACCAGCAAACCAGTTGGGCAGGCAAAGAAATGCTGATCCAGAAAAAATGTTGGCTGAGACTCCCTACATTTACCCGGAAGCTGGATTTGTGTTTTGGCTTTTTTTTATTTTCTGGAGAAGAAGGTCTTAGCATTAGGGAGAACTTAGAGACTTCTCTCCCTTTATCCTCACTTCCTCCTAAGCAAGCTTTAAAGCAAGCTATGGCTATGATATTTATTATCCACCTTACATCACCATGGCATAGGGACTCTCCCCCCACCATCTTTTTAAATTTCTCCCTAATTTCTCTAAGGATCTAGTGATCACAGAAATTACTGGTAAGATGATGAACAGAGGAATATAAGGAATATAACAAGGGATGTACACGAACACAGGGAGTAGCTAGACAGGAGAAATAAAGGAAGAAGTAAAAGGAAGGAAACAAAGAAGAAAGTTTTTTAAAAATACAGTTCCTTTTTTTAATGTTTATACTCTTGAAAAATATTTTTTTTAAATAACATTGCATTATTCTCTCTCAACCTATTTACCTTATAAAGTTCCCAAAGGAACTATGATAAAAATATTGTTCTTCTTAATAAATGGCATAATATTTATTGGTAGGATAATGACAGAGAAATATAAGAAAGATGAACATGAAAAATAGCTAGACAAGTAAAATAAAGGAAGAAGTAAAAGGAAGAAAACAAAAGTTTTTTTTAAAAAAACACACTTCCCTTTTTAAAATGATTTGTTTATCATTTTGAAAAAGCATATACCTTATTAAAATGCTATCAAAGTTCCCAAGGAACTGTAACAAAAATATTGTTTTTCTTGATAAATGGCATATTTGCCAGTAACAGTTGCAGCTGAGATTATCTTCTAAACAATATCCAAGACAGTCTTAAGAGACAACAGAAACATACTAGCCATAACTAACAGGGAGGCATCTTGTTTACCGGCAATTTATTAATTATTTTTCTACTGGATGTGGACAGGAAATACGTATGTTTTTATCTGAACACCAAATGAAGCGGAGCATATAAAGGTAGCATATACTACCTTTCGCGCATTTATTTCAGAAGACAATAGGGCTTTTCTTTTATTATGATGAAGAAAATATATACCAGATATGAGAAGGGGATTTTTTTTTTTAAGCTGATTTGTTTTATGTGTGAGCCCTATAAATACGTGTTCAGCTTATCTCTTGTTTTGATAATGGAAAAGATTACTATTGCCATGTTACATGGTGCACTAAGAACAACATACTGATTTGTTTATATATAGCAATTTGACTCTGGTATAGCAAGTAAGAAATAAACCTGGGCATATGATATTGATATAAAGAAATATACTGGATCTGATATTATCAATTACAGGGTGTCTATAGAAACACACTCAAAAATAGGGTATTGGGGACCCTTTAATAAGAGAGAAATGGGAATAGAGAAAAAGATGAAAAAAAGCTGAAATATCTTGGTTTCCTTTTATTACAACAAATATTGCGCACTTTATTGTTATAACTATTGAACAGGAAGCTTGAAAATATACATGTAGAAGAAGATGAGGTGGATATAGAGGGTGGAACAGTAGATAGGGCTGGGATGATAGTCATAAACTGAAAATATGTGTTTGTGTTTTCTGTCACAGGTAAATGGCAAGATTTTTATTTCAAGTCCAGAAAGGGACAGCTGTTGAGTAATAGGCCATAATTTCATATTTCCATATAAAATTGTAGGGCCACTCATGCAAACATTTTCCTGCTTGTCTGTTTTTAAACTTCCTAAAATGTGAACTTTAGAAGAATGAAGGATATGGAAAGAAAAGTTGGAAGTCCAAATTCCCCCTCTCTATTAAAACGTTTGAAATAGCAGCATCACAACCTGAAAAAAATTTTTTTTCTTGATTGATGAACAGAGAAAAAAGAGAAATCTACTTGCTCAGTGAGACCAAGCGAGGGTTAAAACCAGCTTTAATAAACAGTGCCGTGGTTATGACTCGTTTGGCTACCTATCCATATTATGCTGGAAACTATCTCCCCTTCCCCCCCCCAGGACAAAACGCAACCCGGGCTGCTCAATACATAAAGGATGCCACCTGATCCCGAATTAGTGACTCTTGAAAACGGGTCCCTCTTTATAGCATTTCCTGTGGGATTAGAGGAGATACGGGCCATCGCGAAGGGAGGAGATAAATCCCCTGCTGAAATAACAAAAGGAACATGAGGTTATCCTAGGAAATGCCCTCTTTGGCGTGGTCAGGAGGGGTACAATAAAGGGAATCCTCTGAAAAAGGATCCACCGGAATCCTTTTCATCCTTCTCCAGCTATTCAGATCCGTTCGCCTTTCGAGGGGTCAGTGGGTCACTCACTGGAAATAGGCGCCCACAAGTATCCACTGCACCACCCTCCATCCACCACCCTCCCTCCATTCTTGCAGGGGGGGGGTATATGATCCACACCCCCGTGCGTGTTTTTATACACAGAGGGACAGGCAGACAGACACGCACCGCCAGCCTGCCGTGGGGGAGACGCGTCCACGGACGCCGCCGTTTCCCTGGAGCCCTTCCCAACCCCCCCAACCCCGTCTCACCTGTCCGAAGAGCAACCTGCGTCGGATGGTGGCTCGGTGCGGCTTTTGGGGAGGGGAGTCGCCCCGCCGACAGACCCGCAGCCCCCCGCGAAGCGCCCCAGCTGGGAGTCTAGACTTCCTCTTGTTTACAAACCCAGGCTATGAAACAAAGGTGTCTCCTCCCCCTTTTCTCTCTCTCTCTCTCTCTCTCTCTTCTCCCCTCTCCCTCCTCCTTCCTGCGGGCTTCCCCCTCCGCGCCTTCCTCTTTTCCGCCCAGCCAATCGGGGCGGGCTATGCAAATAAACTGCAGAGCTGATAAAAGGGGAGGGGACCTTTGCGCGCGCGGAGGACACGCTCGGTTCGGCACGAAGTGGGGGGCGGGGAGCGCGAGGCGGTCTGGAGAGATGGCGTGGCTGGGCGGCGCGCCGCGCCTGGGCCGGCCCTGAAAACGGCGGGCCTCTGGGCGTGTGCAGAGCGCCTTTGGCTCGTCTCTGGCGGGCTGCGGTGGTGCACCTTTCCCCCTTTGGAAACGGGGTCTAGAAGGGATAGTTGGGGAGGCTTGCCTTTTTGCCACTTGGAGATGGCACTGATAAGCTTTGATCAAAATAGCCTGGATTAAAAGTTTTTATGGTCGAGCAGGATCTCAATCTGCGTGTAGTGAGTTCAGTCCCGGAAATTGCCGGAAAAACCATGTTGCAGTGAAACTAAGTCTGATTAGATGAATATATGCACTTAATATAATAGCCTTCTGTGTTTGGCAAATTTTGAATTGATGAAACACAGGAGCCTACAAACAAGACTATGTCGAAATTGACACTTTGGCTGGTAAATAATGCTTTTAAATAATGCTTTTAAAAATTCCATATATTAAAATGTAAATACTTGTAAACAACATCATCACTATAGTAGCTGTTCTTCCCATAAGACATTTTTATATTATGGAAGTGTCTTATTTGAATTCTGCAATTGCAAATCTACATTCCAGTAACAAAGAGGTTTTGGGGGGTATTGTATATCTTGGGATCTGAACAATTATTCTGTGCTTGGGTAGTTTGGAAAACTACTGCAAGCCAAAGGAGACAATATTTGCCTGGGAGGGGAAGGCGGTCATTGTGCACTTCTCATTGTGAGTCAGGGTTAGATGTCACGAGGAAGGAAATTGTCTGGCATACTGCAACAAAATAGCCTAGATTAAAAGTTTTATGGTTGAGCAGGATCTGAATCTGCACACAATGAGTTCAGTTCCACAAGTTGACTAATGCCAGAAAAATAATCAAGTTGCAGGGAAACCGAGTCCAATGTTATTGATTACATTAATATGTGTCTTTGGGCATCAGTTGTGATAGTCACAAACTGTTTTATCAGCTACATAAAATGACTTTAAAAAGTGGGTAGGCAGTTGATAACCAGAGACAGTTTGGTCTAGTGCAGGGGTCGCCAACCTTTTGGACCTCAGGAACCACCAAACTCATAATTTTAAATCCTGCAGACCAGAGACCCTGAGAAAATCCCCAAAAAGTCTGCAGGAAAATTCCCCACCCTGTTTTCCTACTGATCGATTATTCTTTTGGGTTCACTTGGATACCGTCTCCAGCTCTGTTCTCAGAGAGAGAGAGAGAAACTTTTGGCTTCATGCAAGGAAAGCAGCAGAAGCAGCAGAAGTCTCTCCCCCATACTCCACCAGAAATGAGTCTTTGTGAGACTTGTCACACTGGCGCAGCCTCTTGGAGCAGGATGCCTAGCAGGGTCCTAAAGATTCATCTCTAGTTGAGTTTGGGGGTGAGAAAGAAAGACTTTTGCTGCTTTCCTTGTGTGCAGCCAAAAACAGAAGAAGAAAGAAGTGGAAAAAAGCAGCCTGGTGGCCAGGTGAGGTGCGTGGGGCAAGTTTCCTCCCTCTGCCCTTTCCCCCCTCCCCTCACTGTCTTGTGTTGTTCACAATGCAAGCAATGCAAGCCTTGCGTTCCCACGGGCCATGTGGGCGGCGCAGCCTTGCGTTTCCATGCAGCCTGGATTAATTGCTTTGGGGGGGTGCTTTGGGGTTAACATTTCTCTGCGGAGCACCAACATTTTCTCATGGACCACCAGTGGTCCCTGGCCCACTGGTTGGCGACCACTGATCTAGTGGTTAAGACGCTAGACTAGAAACCAGCAAATCCTCAGGTCTAGTCCCACTTTAGACATAAAAGATCAGTTAGGCCAGTCACTGATCTTAGGCCAGTCACTCTCTCAACTCAGCCCACCCTGCAGGGTTGTTGTGGGGAAAATAGGTAGAGGAAAATGTGTGGAATATATTTGCTGCCTTATTTGTAACATTAATAAAGTTGGGATGCAAATAAACAAAAATGACTCGAGTCCAGACAGAGAAACATGCCTTTTATCGATATCCAGCTTGTAAGAGGTAGAACACAACACATCATAATGCTAAGCGAACATGAATGAATGCCCACTTATCACGAGACAACACAATCGGATCAGTATGGCTGCAATCCTTTTCTAATAAGCAACCACTGGTTCTTGCACAGAGGAGGATCGATATTGTACATTCAGCAATTATTTTGTCCTTGGATTTGATAAGATTGACTTCAGTTAAGGGAACCTAGTAGTTTCACTGCTAATAATTTTTTTTCTTTGTTTCATTTTAATTTGCTTCTACACAAACTTTAAAATCCTGCAGCCTTTTTTTGCTAGAGATTTTAAATATAAGACCCCATTTTGTCAGCTGGATGCTATGGGCTACATTGATACGCTTGGAATGAAACAGAATGAGAGACAAAGGTGAATTTACTTGCTAAGATAGCTGCAGAACTGAAAATATGCAGCTTGTATGATTGTGGGTGTTTTCCAAATGGTTGCCTTTGCCTTTCTTTGTATTGTTTACTTGACTTAACTGCAGCTAGTTCTAGCAAATATTTATTTGAAAGGGAGTGTCCCCTAGTGGTTAGAAGTGGGAAGACCTGGGTACCAATTCCCACTCAGCTATGCAGCTTCTTGAGAAACCTTTGTCTAATTTTTACTTCTCATTGTTAAACACACCCAGAGTGGATTTGTACAGAAGAGATTGAAGAGATTGGACAGCCATCTGTTTGGAATAGGAAAGCATCTAGGTTAGACTAGAAGATATCCAAAATTCCTTCCTTCCAACGTTGTTATCCTGTATTCTGGTTGTGAGAATATATGACAAAGGAAAGAGACCCAACTCATCAAAACTAAGTGGAAAAGGACTTGATAAAACTATTTAAGACTTCCTGAAATAAAACATCTGATTCTACTTATTGTCCAAATTGTACAGTGTCGTCTATTATTCATATCTATGTGATTTCTAAGAGTCACAACTCCAACTTGATAACACAAGATTAAATCTCTGGAGATTCTCAGTCATCCAGGTGACGGTTGTCCCAAAGATGCTTTTTCATGAGGCGAATAGAGTTTCTTTTTCTTTGAAAAAGCATGTTTGGGACATGATGAAATCATAATCAGTCAGGTTGGAAGGGATGATGTACAGCAGAGGTTTTTAATTTTAGCAACTTTTAATTTTATGGATTTCAACATCCAGAATTCCATAGCCAGCCATGGTGGCTGGGGAATTCTGGGAGTTGAAGTTCTTAAGTCTTAAAGTTGCCAAGGTTGGATATCCCTGATGTACAACACTGACTAAACCAAATTGGAGATCAGAATTTAAATGATATTCTCGTGATTTCTCTCCAGGGCCATGAAACTCCCTTCCCTCTAATAGGCAACAATTCTAGGGATATTAAGTTCAATTGTGGTGTCCTTCTGCCAGAATTATATCTATAAATCCCTTCCCTTTTCGGTGGTGACTTAATTTCCTACGATTTTGTACAACAAAATTGTACATTGTAGCTTCTTAGGACAAGCACATTGATCAGAGAAAAGGAAATGAGTATAGACTCAGACTATTGCCACTTAAAGGCTATGTTATATAGTGAAATGAATCATAATTATGGGGACCTTGATTTTTACAATGCAATTAATTTGAATTGGGACTCAGCTGGCAAAACCTGTTTTTCAATGTTAGGGTTCAGCCAAAAAACATGTCATCAAATAATATGGAGGAAGTCTCTGGCCAGGTGTGAACTCTATTACCATTCTGTAATTATGGCTCACCTTTTAAACCCTCAAATTGGGGAATGAGATTTGTAAAGTGTGATAGTGATAGCACTGGTATTTTGAGTGTAAAAGCTACTGTGCGTGGAGGTTAACCTAGTGCCATCTAAACTAGGTGTAAAAAGATTTGCGGCTAGAGCTGCCATTGCTTCTGATTATTGGTCCTGCTGGCTTAGACTGATGGGAATAATGTCCAACAATATCTGATGTCCAACTATATCTGGAGACTCACAGATTCCATATTTGTGCTCTAGAAAATTATGTGGAGAATATTTGACAATAAAAAAAATTACACCATCGTGCTACCTTAATTTTAATAGTTTCAATGTCTTTATAATTATGCTTTTATACTATTGTAAGCTTCAAGAGTCACTTAGGACAGTGAGATAGATGGCATATACAGGTAGTCCTTGACTTACAACCATTTACTAGTGATCATTTGAAGTTACTATGGCATTGAAAAAAGTGACTTATGACAGTTTTCATACTTAATGACTGTTGAAGCATGCCCATGAACAACATTCAGATGCTTGACACAGGTTGCATGTATTCATGACCAGAATTATGTGATCACTTTTTGTGACACTCTTTTTTAAATTATTTTTATTTTATTTTATTTTTACACATCTCTTCACGTGAGCAACATGATTCCGGATTATAACACTTGTACATAGTCATACTTTCATTTCCATTAATCTTATATAATATTATCTCATATCATTATCCATTTCACACATCTTTAAATAAATTTGCATTTCATATTTCAATTCAGTAGTTCAATATCAATATTTCATCCACACATAGGTTTTCAATTCTTTATCCCCTATTATTTCCATTTTCAGCCTACTATCTATTTTATTTTACATTACACATCGTTATTATCCTTAATTTTCTCTAAGCCGATATATAATAAACAATTTTTAAAAAGTAAAAGTAAAATAAAGCCAATGTATTTGGATCCACATGGTGTTTTCCATTCCCATACTTTAATCATAATAAAATATTCTTATTATACACTTCTAATATCCATTAAATAATCAACTGTATATTTTAAAATGTATTCTTGATTGTTTGGCGATGGCTTCCCTGATGATTCTCTTGTTGAAGTGTTCAGTATTGGAGATTTGTTTATGAAATACCATGCAACAATTGCCCAGCCAGATACATTGGACAGACCAAGCGCACACATCGCAGAACACAAGCCACAGATCATGAAATTAATTTTGAGGGAACCAAATTAATCTCCAATACTGAACACTTCAACAAGAGAATAATCAGGGAAGCCATCAAAATAGAGAAACACCCCCGTAACATGAGTAAACAGGATGATATGTCCTGCCTACCAGACATCTGGAAACTAGCCCTTATCAACAAATGAATCCTAGCCACCCATTCCATAGACGAAAGGCAATCACTGTCCAGAAACCAGACCACGGCTGTATCACCAGCTGCCACACACACCCCGACCCCCAAACCAAGCAAACTGACGCCATGAACACATAGCCAGGCCTCAAACTCAGAGCCAAACCAAAATCCGGAAGTCACATCACAGCCATCTGCTCAGGATATCACATCATGAAACTCAGGAGGTTAAACCACAAAACCTCAGGATGTTACAACACAGCCAACGACCCAGGAGATTACAGCACAAGACCCAGGATGTCACAACAATAGAACTCAGAAGGTCATCACAGTCCATTACCCAGGTCGTTACAACACAGGAGGCTGATAAGACACACAGCCAATACCTCAGCCACACATGTTCTTACAAAAAAGCCAACCAATCTGCAAACATCAACTCCATCAACCAATTAAGAAATAACAACACAGCCAACCTCCCCACCAGTATTTATAGAGAGACAGCAGCTCCAATCACGCTTTGCTCGCACAAGCACAAAGCCAAAAGCACCAGCCTGAAGATGGCGAGTGGGACCTCGTCGAAACGTCGCCAAGATACTCTCAATCTTACATGGGAAAAAGTTTTAAACTAAGTACCAATATACATTCCCATGTGGTATCCCCCTTATAAAATCCCTAACCCTAATCTCTAAATTTCTCGTCTTTATTATTTCTTTTAATTTTAGCCAACTTTCCCTTTTCTAAGTTTCCCTGGTCTTTCTTTTTTCCTTCTAGTATTGCCTGTCAGCCATGTTTTCCCCCACCCTTTTCAGTTCTCTTTTTTTTGGGTTTCTTCTTATATAATTCCTTCTTCTTCTTAGTCTTGGGAGCCTTATCTCTTTTATTTGTTGACTCTGTTGTCAGTGTCTCTATTTTAAATCTTTTTATATCCTTTGGCAATGGTCCTTGTTCTCCATAGTCTTCTAGGCTGTTGTTTTCCTTTTCCAACTCGTCATCTCTGGGCTTTCCTTGTTCTTCTGCAAGCTGCAACACCATTACTTTATTAATCATTGTATCCAGCAATTTCATTCTTTCTTTTAACATACCTCTCACAGTTTGCAGCTCCAACTTAAATTCTTTGCTTATTTCTTCCATTTCTTTATTAAAGATCAAATTTTTCTATTATAGTCCTTGCCAAAAGTCTCTGTTTCTCTCGATTTCTCTTTCTTCTGTTTTTTTTTTTTGTCACAGTCAACCTCCAGCAGTCTCAAAATATTGTATTCCTTTATATTTTACTGTAGTCCCCATTTTTTTAAAAGCTTCTGGGGTTCTTGTTGTATTAATAATCTTTTATTCCATTTCTTCTTTCTTTAAAATATTTATACAACCAGTAATTTCCCGTAAAAGCATAAAAGAGGAAAATCTTTAACCATTAGGTAGTGCTCTATATCACTTTTTTTTCAAAGTTTTTTTAAATTTTTAATTCTCTTTTCCGGAGTATTAACATTAAACTTTACCCATTCCAAATAAATACAGCATTTTATCCAATGCCTAATTAATGTCCAATTCTGTATATTAGTCCAAATTTAATCTCTGTTTTCATATAATTCTTTTATTTCTGGTTTTCTTTTTACCTTATATTTTCCTCTTATTCCCCGCTACCATTCTTCCAAACGAAGACTCTTTCTTTCCGCTTTTCGGGGTTATCAAGAAAAAAAAATTCAAAGTATTTTATCTAGTTATATGCTGCTCACCACTTCCACTCTCCATCACAAACTTAAGTCCCAACAGCTTCCTAGCTTCAGGGCAGCCATTAAACTGCCACTTCTCCCTGTCTTCTAGGGGAGTAGATACCAAGCCAGGGAGGGGAGATGTGGCTCCTCTCAACCCAGCTTGTGGTCTCCCCCTCTTCCCCCCACCCCTACAAGGTGGGCAGATGGTTTGGTCCCTTAGGGACCCCTCCAACAGGGCAAGCACGGATCAAAGCCGCACACGATCACGGTCTCTGATCCGTCTTCGACAGAAACATCACCGGAAGTCCACCTTTTGTGCCTTTCTGACAAGCAAACCCAGTGGGGAAGCCAGATTCACTTAACAACCATGTTACTAACTGAACAACTATGTAATTAATTTAATAATTGTGGCAAGAAAGGTTGTAAAATGGGGTAAAATTCACTTAACAATTGTCTTGCTTAGCAATGGAAATTTTGGGCTCAATTGCGGATGTAAGTCGAGTGAGTCAGTTGCCAAATGTCTGAACTTCGATCATGCAACGGTTGTCAGGGTGAAAAATGGTCATGTTGCTTTTTTTCAGGGCTGTTATAACTTCAAGTGGTCACTAAATGAACTGTTGTAAAGTGAGGACTACATGCAGTGGGAGCAAATGTTCATGAATGGGGATTGTCCAAAATGTGGCAGAGATCATGTGGGTTTCCATTGGTCTTTAAAAACGTTTCAGAATCATTCCTACATTTCACAGCAAGACTTTGGCCTTAAGAGGCGGATTCAAAGGTGGTAACCCAAGCAGAAACCACATCAGGAATAGCTTTGAGTACCAGGAATGTGCCCAGGAAGGGTGGGGATTGAATGCAAATTAATCATCTAGAAGAACTTGTTGGCCTTTCTTTTTTTTTTTTTTTGCATTCTCTGTGGATGCCAACAATCAGAGAAGGAAAATGAAAATGGATCTAAAAGGCCACAGATCAAATCCCACCAACGATTCACTCAATTTTAGAACACTCCCCCTCCTTTATCTTGTACAGTACAGCATGAAAATTAGTCCATCTCTCACTTCCTTCTCCAGCCTCGATTAAAATATTTGACTAGAACAGTAGAACAACCCCACGTTGGGCCAATGACTTAAAGCTGGCATTTCTTGCCAAACCCTTAACAGTTGATCCTTCTTTGGTGGGACTTGTTTGTTTGCAACCTTGCTGTTGAAACAGGTGTCACCCTGCTCTGGGAGAGTAAAAGTTTGCCTTGATAACTGTTGCATGCCTCAAAGAATTTAATGCTGAATTAAATGGTTATTCTCCACTGACAACTAAAGCACCTTGTACAGTACAGAGATGGGTAGCTTGTGATTTTAGAGCATGGTTTCCCAAACATGGGTGGAATTCAAGTCCCAGAATTCCCTAGCCAGATCTTCAGCTGATTTCAAGAGCCTTTCTTAAGCAAATTTAAGTGTAGGTTTTTACATTCTTCTCCTGCAGGAGAGGATTTTAAAAGAAAAAAGTCAAGAAAATAGCTGTGACTGCATGATCAAACCCCACTGCTTTTTAATGTGTATTATGCACATAGTAAAAAGTGTGGGGCTACAATTGTGTAGGTGTGGCCACCATGTTGATTCTCTCTCCATTTAGAACATTCCCAAGAGTTGTATAATAATAACTGGCCTCACGAGAGATAAAAAGGTGAAAAACATACAAAAGAAAAAAGAAATGAGGTGGTGATCATGATGGTTTCAATAAAGGAGAATATTTATAGCTCAGAGTTGAAATGTAAGGTCCTTGGTGCTTTCTGAGTTGGCTTGTTTTCTTCCTTGTTTTCATTACTTTAAGGTAACATCATCAGTACTAGTGTGCGAATGATGGTTTCACACACTTTTGATGTGAAATGGTTTCACACATTTTTTGTCCTGAAATCATCCATTTCTCTCTCCATTCCCCATCAGAAATGTCAGCGGCAATTCTAAAATAATATTACAATTTATGCATTGGAGGGTAGTGGTGGTGGATGGGCATTCAGGTACTGTCGAAGAAGAGTTGGATAGTCAGACATTACTCCGGAGACCCCATAGCTAAAGGCTTCTTCAAAATCTTTGTCTTCATTCAAAACCCAAAGAAGAGTCTAGAGAGAAAGTGGAAGAGGGAAAAACAGAATCACAAAATGCAAACACCAGAAATAAAAGGACTGTGGCCCTCCAAAAAAGAAAAGAGTGTACCAAGAATAAGAGCCGCCTTTGCTGCAATCCCAAAATTTCTGGAGCACCACTTCATCACTACCGTTAGTAGCCAGGTCAATAGCAATATTTTTTTTACAATAGTTTGAACTCGGGTTTTAATTCAGGCTCAGCCACTCTTGCCCTGGTCATTTCACACTCGGACTACTGCAATCCACTCTACATGGAGCTACCCTTGAAGAGTGTTTGGGAGTTACAGCTGAGACAACATGCAGCAGAGCAAACAGTTTTAGGGGTCCCTAGAGTGGCCCATGTGACCCCACTGTTACATGAACTGCATTGCTTACCAATTTGTTTCGGGTGTAGTTGGCCATTAGTTTTAAAGCCCTGTAGGGCATCATCCAGGCTATCTGAGGAACAGTCTCGCCCTGATAGGATTGGCACTCCATACTTACTCTGGCAGGAGGGACATGCTGTGGATCCTGTTGGCCTGGGAATTGCACCTGGTGAGATCCAGCAGAAAAGCCTTCTCTGCTGTGGCACATCCTGCCCCTTGAGATGAGATCTGCCTTCACCCTCTTGGCCTTCCGAAGGAACCTGAAGACCTGCCTCTGTCAACTGTCCTGGGACCCCAATGGGAGGTGGTCTCATTTCCGAGGTGGCTAGTAGATTATTAGAGGATCCCACCTCCACCCTCTGTGCGCATGTTATTTTATTTGCTTTGTTGTTTAACTTAGTATGTTAAATTTGGTGATCAATGTATTGCTCTCTTGATGTTTTAGCTCTATATAATGTTTATACCATTGTAAGCCCCTAGAGTTGCTTAGTAGTAAGATGAGCGGCATATAAACTTAATAATAAATAAATAATTCTGACCGTTCCCAGGAATATCAGAATCAGAATAGAGTTGGAAGGGGCCTTGGTGGTCTTCTAGTCCAGCCCATTGCTCAGGCAGGAAATCCTGTACTTTTTCAGACAAGTGATGATGGTTCAGTCCTTTCTTAAAAACCTCCAGGGATGAAGCACCCACAATGTCTGAAGGCGAGAGCTGTTCCACTGGTTGATCATCCTCACTGTGAGGAAGTTTCTCCTTAATTCCAGGTTGCTTCTCTCCTCGATTATTTTCCATCTGTTGTTTCTTGTCTGGCCTTCTGGGGCTTTGGAAAATAAATTAACCCCCTCTTCTCTATGGCAGCCCCTCAAATACTGGAATACTGGTGTCATGTCCCCCCTCCCAGTCCTTCTTTTTTCTAGTAGAGGCTAGCATGCCACCCACAATTCTGATTTGTTAGCTTTCCCCAACATACTTGTATTCCTCTGTCTTCCAGATGTTTGAACAGCTTTTTACGCATTGTCAGCCTGGTGGGAAAGGAAAGAAATAGGAATACAAAAGGTTTAGGTATATTCACTCTGCTTTATGTATTATAGAGTCCAGCAGAAAAAAAAAGGCGGGGGAATAGATATGAGAAAAAACAAGATATTTCACATAGTGTCACTTGGGGAGAGAGGGGTCATTTTTCTGATATTTATTGTCTCTAGCAGGGAAACAGCTGGCTTGGGTTATATGTTTCATTAAGAGCCCTCCTGCTGGGAAAGGAGAGGAGAAGGTGATGAAGGGAAGGAATACTTAGTAAGAACGAAACAATTAAAACCATGGTTCTATGTCACTCACTTGGTGGCAAATATTGCCAGGAGTGATCCAAGTCTGCCCTTTTTCACTGGAAAAAACGTCCTAGGATTAAACAAAACAGAAAGGTGGCAAAATTAACAAGCTCCTGAGAACTGCTGGTTTCCTGCTATTCCTCCTTTAAAATATTGGATCCCACACTTTTTCCAAAGAAGTAATTCCATGAATTACAAAACATACTACAAATATATCTTGTCTTTGACAGGCAAAACCCTTAGAATAATTTTACACACCAGCATTGTTTTTCTCCACAACTAAGCTTCTACAGAACATGAAAGAGAATATATGAGGAAGGTCAGCTTAACTTTATCCTGTCCAATTAACTTAGGCGTTATTCACATTATAGGGGAAAACCCCCAAACTGTGAGGTTTGAATGTCTTGTGTCAGAGGTTCTTTGTTGAACTGCTTCCAATTAGCTTGTTCCCATCTGAAGGAGACACAGAAGCACTGGATTCTGGACAGGTAGTTTTCTTATGTCTCCCTATAAGAGTGGGGAAGATGTTTTATTTGATAAAAACAAAGTGATACACGAGTACTTCCTATATTCTATTCTATTATCATCTCTGCACCATTCCTAT